TGCAAATCTAGAGATAGCATAATTCAGAATGGGAGAGGAATCCCAATCACAGTTGGGCGCTGCACTAAGTCTAGCGTATATACATTACGCTGATTTGGTATACGAACAAGCACCGTGGATTAGATCTTAACTGGTGATACGCTTCTTTCAGCAACTTAAAGCAGGAGAATACCGCCACCCTGGAATTGTGTACTTACTGGGTCAGAAAGTTGATGTGCTCATAATGTAGAATCAACTTGTAGCTAGAGCCTACGCAACGCAAGGTCGAGTCTATCCTTCACTTGATGATGGCAAGTCGCTATATCCGATCACTTCAACAACAGACCAACAATCCACTAACACTTTAACATCGAATTGTCACATACAGACGCGTCAACTTACCTGAAAGATGGTGTATGTTCCTGCACCAACAGTCCCAATGAAGATAACTACCAACTTCATCCAGAAGGACCAAATCAAATGGCCCAGATGAATCTCTTCTAGGCTGCGATAGACGAGTACGTATAACGACCAGATGATGCAGACAATCGCGATCAAATGAAAAACGACGGAGCAAATCAGGCGGCGCTTCTCTGCCGGATTCATGTTCATCGGACGCCACTGAAAAGGATGGGCAGATTTGTGAAGTGGTCAAGGGAGAGCAAGAGAGAGAGAGAGAGAGAGAGAGAAAGAAAAGAGTATATCAGTTCCCTTGTTTGACGCTTGGCTATTTCTGGCGCCAGTTACCATAGCAGAGGAAGAGAAGCAAAACTTTGCCCACATTATTTCGGCAATAAGCTTGGCTGTACCAACTTTAGTTTAAGAGGCTTTTGGTGGAATGGGTTAAAGTAGTACCATCTTTCAGTCAGTTACGATTGCCGGACTCTAATGCGGGCCAGTTCATACATTTCCCCACTATTCTCTGCACACCGACGTCATTTTGATACGGCTTATTAAGGTCACGTTAGGGCTACTAGTCTGAAGGGTAACATTTGTAGAACAACCCATTTATGCCTGACTGATTGGCTCAAACACATTAGCAACATCCCGTAGCAACATGCGAGCAAGAAGGCTGTCAATAAGCTGTCATAGACAATATCTACTTTCCAATCCCTACCATTTCCTTCGGGTGTCTTTTCGAGATATTGGGTCATCTATTGACTTATTGTACACATCGCGTCGTCAAAGGAAATCGGTTTGTTCGGCTTCAAGGCCTAATCCACAAATGGTAAACTCATGTGTGGATAGCATTGGTTTGACTTTGTCTTACCAACTTGTTTGTGTGTTTAGAGCGACTTCTAAAAAAATGACACCTACCTCCTCCTCTGTCAATGTACTCATGTCCTTTTCCAGCTTCGGATGGGTGACTGGGTGCATGAGAGCAGAAGTTCCGACAATCGACACTTTGCAGAATTGTAGCTCGGTGCTATTACCGGTGCTGCTCATTGTCAAGATCGCCTGCGTTACTCAGGTAACTTATGAGAATGTACCCAGTGAACTGAGGTAGGCTACAACCAAACTAAAGGCTTTATCAAGTTGGCCTACACATAAAATATGAACAAGTAAACGAGGATGCATGCAATCAAGTTTACAGTCCTTGGTCAGGTTGGACTTAAATTGCAATTCAAAATGAAAAATAACGAGAATAAAAATATATAGTCCCAAATAAACAAACTGGTTCATGAGACTTGAGACTGGAAAAGAAAAAAGAATAGTTTTTTCTTTAATGAATACGTTTTATAGACAATCCTTAACTCGTATATGAGGACAATATTTATCCTATTTCGTTTACAGTGATGAAGGACTGACAATTAAATTTTCTAACAATCCGATTAGTAGGCTTCATTTTTCCATCGAATTCCACATGGCCTTGCTCCCCGAAAGGTATTCTTATACAGGCTGGACAATATTTTCAACTAAGCCTCGGGCTCATCAGCACCCAAAGGCGAAGTCTAAATTGCAGTCCAGTCCGCCCGGATGGGACATCCTTTTGGGAAGGAAGGTCAGATAAAATTCAATATTATCCTGGGGCCTACCCATCTGATTGTGGGTAAACTAAACTGTGGGCCATTAAATCACCAGAAGTAGCCGAAGCTGGATATGTTCTTACCCAAGTATTACTGTTAATCTTCAAAACAACTTTGAGGACTACTAAAATATCGTCATAATTTTACGAACAGGTATA